TGGTCACTATCTTGGGACCAATGTCCCAATGTGTTGGGACCAATGTCCCAGAGCCAGCAGGGCCAGCACTGGTGGGGCCCAAAGCTGGGCACAGACTTGCAGGGGTCTGTGGAGCCAGGCTGGGCTGCACCAGCAGGAAGACCAGGGAGCTGGCCTGGCTCCATAGAGCCCCTGCTAGCTGGGACCCTGCGTTCCTGCCACCCTGCTCTGGGCCCTGCCAGCACTGGCCCTGGGACACCGGTGCGGGCCCTGTGCTCCCACAAGAAAGAAATGACAAGGTTATAGGCATTTTTGTGATTCACCATTATAGCCTATGGGCAAAACATCGAAACACATTGAAACAGCGAAACAGTTTTGACAAAATGATATGAAACAGTTCTGCAAAACAGCAAAACAAAATGCTGTCCCTTTGATACAATGAAATGGAAGTCAAAACAAAATGGTGCTGTTTTGCACAGCCTTAGTAGCTTCTGTAAAATTCTTAGCACTTTGTCCCACGATCCTCACCTGGGGTCTGGGTATCTCCTGAGCTTTAAGGAGAACCATGAACTTTGTATTTCAGTAAATCTATTTAAGTCAAGATGTCACTGATACTTGTTCTGTAGAGCCCGGGAGGGAGCACTCACTACATCTTAAGGAACAAATCAACTGTTATACTCCCATGAAACACTAGCAGGCATAGTGCCTCCTAGAGCTCCTGCTGGGCTGTGTAGCTGGTCTGCTTCAAGACATAGTAGAATCGTTGGAATGCAGTGTTTAGGATTATGTGCTGCAAAGGAATCTTTTATACTACGCTTTCACTCTACTCTCAGATATAGTCATTCAGTGTTTATTACTTATATACATTATGCATTAAGATATGTTGACTTTTGTTTGAATTGTGTCGGGTTTAATCACAATGTAGAGTTGCTTGAATAAAAAGAGGTACATCAGTGGTCATATCAGTTATTAGGAGTGCTACAATCTTTAATGAGATTCAGTTCCTCATTTATGCATTTAAGTACTGCTTAAATAAGGTCAACTTTTTCAATGGTGATTCCTGTTGATCTGGTGTACTTGAACTACATAGTAATTAATACTATTTTTAAATATACCATCTGAAAACTGAAAACCATCTGAAAACTGCTTGGATTTCATCACTAAAATGATTACTTCTATTTTTCTGCCCCAGAATCTGATCCTAAGATTGCCAAGGAAATTAGTGTGTAAATATCTCTAAGTTGATAAAGTATACATTCTCTTGTGTAATGGGTGGCAGATATTTCTAAGTATATATGGTAGCAATATGCTCACAGATACTTTAAAGTGACTAAACCCAGAGAATTAACAATACCTATTGCAAAACTAGACCTGATTCAGATTTGCATATTAAACAGTTTTATATAGGAGTGTGTCAACATAAACTGATTTTCTGGAATGTAACATATAACTGATTTAATGGTATTTAGCAGTAGATGTTGTTTAATAGATTGAATGACTGGAATATTTAATAGCATTTACCACAACCTGTGTAGTGGGTAGTGCTCATTTTCTTTTTTTCTGGGAATATTTCATATAAATGTCCTTGAATTAAATCTTGCCCTCATCAAAATCAGCAAGTGTTTTGACTTCAGTAAACCAGGGTTTTACCCTTTTGTAACAGGACATCTTCCTGTATATTAACAGAGGAATTATATATGACTTGCTCCAATTACAAATAGTTGCAAAAGTCCTTTGGATTTATTGGCATAGGAGTGGGACATAAGATGTCAAAACATATGTGATGTATCATTTACTTATTGTACTCTAATACTGTGTCTCTGGCCACATATAGATGTTAGGTTTCTACCAGGAGAATCATAATTTTTCAAGCAGAAACTAGGAGCATATAAGCATTCATTCAATTTCTCCTGCAGGAAATATCCCCTCACTGAGAGAGAGATCTTTCAGGTTAACATCTGGAAACTCCTTCACACAAATGAATGCCTGTATGGTCCCCTCCCAGTTTAGTCTGGGATAGCAGGGAAGGATCTGGGCAAGATTTCCTGCCTCTTCCCTAGATAGGTACTGCCTAGTCTGGGGAACTACCTGGGGGCTTTGCCCTGCTGCTCCCTCTACTACAATCCTGGAGACGGAGTGGAGCAGAGGAGACTGCTCCCTTCCTGTTCCCCAGACCTTGGTCTGAATAAGGTGCTGGGAGCCTTTCCCTGCCACTCCACTCCTCTGTGGGACTGGGAGGAGTAGTGTATCCACTGCTATCCATATCTTCCCTGGAATGGGATTGTGCTGTTATGCTGGAGGTGAGAAAAGCAAGAGAGCGAGGTGGCTGCAGGCTGAATGTCTGTATAATCCCTCTCCCAGAAAAACTTAAAGTCATGGAAGTTTCCATAACTGCTACCACTAGAAATGAATGTCTGTTCATGGCCCTGGCTGTGAACAAATAGAGTTCGTATTTCATGCTAGTGATATTAGTTTTAACGGTAGATTTCAAAAGACAGGGTTTTTTTAATTTATTACAAGCTGAATATTACAATTGTATTTGGAATTTGCATATGGCATATTAAACCCATAGTTCATCCCGATAATATATCTTTATGAATATTTTATGAATAAAATTGTGATTATTTTTATGATTATCCAGAAGTTGACATTTCTTCTCAATAGTATAGAAATCAACATCATAAAAATATTCTCTTTAAAGTGTGTCAATTTAAAATTAAGATAAAATATAATGTCTGGGTTCCATATTTGTTGTAGTTCAGGGGATAAAGCTAAGTGTATTGAATTTATGAAGACAAGTTTCTTTGTGTAAATTCAGTACCTTTTATTAGATCAACTCAAATAGTTGGAAAAATTCTTCTTTGCAAGCTCTTGGGTACAAAAAGAAAGCTTGCAAAGGAAGAAATTTTCAACTATTTGAGTTGGTCTAATAAAAGATATTGGATTTACCCAAAGAACCTTGTCCGCCTATGTCTGCAGACCAACATGGCTACAACTTATGCGCTTGAATTTATGAAAGAATTTTTAATATATTTTTAAACTACTATAATTACCAGACCTTCAAATTGAATTTGTGATTAGAGATGAAAATCTATTCTTTTTGGCTAGTGCATGATCAGTAAACACTAGAGCTGAACTTCTGTTTGTGGTTATACCAGGGAAATCCCCTTATATTTAAATTATGCCTTTAGACATACCAGGTTTCAGTGGGAGTATGCTGATATAAATTTGGCCCAAAGGTTAGCATATAGAGAACATTTCTTTTAATGATGAATAAAATGGTGTAGAATCCATCTCTTTCTTTTACAACTATACTGGATTCCTAAAAATAATTTCATCTGATGAGGATGAGTAGGCATAATTTTGAATATAAGAGTGGCCACAGCTCTTCTCTTCTGAAATTGTTTGAAAAACTTTTGGCTTTAGTGATCCATGAATGTGACCACTGAACAGGCTAGCTGTTCAAGAACATTTCATATCTACTTTGCAGAGTCAAGCTACTCTTCAAAGAGAATGTATTCCTAATTAAAGCAATCTGTTTTGGCCATCTGGAGTGAAATTTCAAAAACATTTCAGTTCCTTTTTCAAAAGTGATGTAAGTATTTAGGAGTCAGTGAAATTAGAATCTGTTGAATGGAAGTTTAGGCACTTAAATTTGAAAGAGTGATCTAAATGTACATTTGCCAACAGCCACAAAGCTCATTAAGTGCCTGAATTCATTAGGCATATATATTTTATAAAGCAAGGGTCCCTAGGAATCGATTTTGGGCTTCTGCTCATGTTCAGAGCTAATTCAGATGGAAAGCTTCAGTGCATGTGCATCATGGTGCTTAACTACTGCCCAAGCTCCATTGTAATATACTGGAGGCAACCCAGGTGCCTGGAAAAGTATAGAGTGGCAGGAGGAAAAGAAAGAAAGAAAGGCAAAACCACTACATTTTCATAAATAATATTGATGCTCAGCTCAAAGTAGCAGTGATAGTGCTCATTTTTTGTTTTCCAGTTGTGAGTCCTTCCAAGAGAGGTTATAGTAGCCAGGCTGTAGACACACGCTCCCTCTTGCTTAGTCTCAGAAATGTTTTCTGTGTTTACCATTTGGAAATAATTGGTTCAAAAGAGAAATATCCCTGGTACCAGAGACTGACACCTTAAAATTTTGCTTGCCAGTGGTATCATAACAACAAGGCAGGCTCTCCATTGCCTATTCTCTAGGCCCCATGACTCTTCCATTCTTAGATGTGCAGTGGCCAGCTTCATCAGGTAGGGCAGAACATTCTCTCACTTAGCCTGTTCTCCAGGATGGTGATTAGGATACTCTCTTGGGAAGTCACAGAATAGGTTCACATTTTCTCAGGCTGGGGAGGTCTTAGGATCCAGACCTCACATATCTTGCCCAAGTGGTTTAGAACTATTAGGCTATTGGGCCAAAGGTGGGCAGCTCCACCACCATGTGATCTTCAGAAATCCAATACATGACTATCCTTGGAAGTGACAGATATTATGAATTACAGATAACAGAGCTATCTACCTGGACACAATCAGTCACGTGCATAAGCTCCAGAAAGAAGCAGGACTTCAGACACATACCTGTACTTAACATTTTCTACTGGTCACCTCTAGATGTCTCCAGACTTTCTGAATTATCACTCAGAGACACTTACTGCTTGCTGTTCTCTATGGAAAATGCTTAGGTGCCCACTTTGTAATCTCTCCATTGATTGCTCCATTGACTCCTTAGGGGCCTTATCTAATCAAATTGAATTGTCCTCCAGAGCAAGGAGGGCTAATACTTACATGTAACAATGCCTAGTGGTAGGCACCTGAGAAACCAAATGGAATCTTTC